GCGCCTCGTAGTTGGAGAGCCCAGGAAAGGTGTGGCTCCGGCCATGTGGGAAGCCAGGGTGATAGCCGAGGCGTTGGTCAGGATAGCACCGAGGGTGGGAGGTTGTCTGGAAATGCCTGCCATCCGATGTCCATCCCCGGAAGCTGTCTGCTGGGCCTGCCCGGAAGGGGACACTCTCCTTTGGCCCCAGCCCCAACACGCTCTGGCTTCCTCCTGACTGTTTCTTTCGACGGCCATTCCTACGCAGATGTTTCATTGTAGCCTTGCTTTCAGCCAGAGGTTACAGAGTATAAAGAAATATTTTCCTTAGATCTACTGGGATGTTCCAAGCGGATAATCCATTGTAACGTACTTATATTGCTAATGATCAGGATTACTGATTGTGTTTGAAATTACACATTTCTTAATGAAAATCTCTATTGTTAAAATCGGCGCATCTATTTTTATCAATAAATATGTCTGGGCCGGGGATTTAGCTCAGTGGTTCCGCAAGTGCAAGGATCCGAGTTCGATCCCCGGTACCAAAAAATTTAAAAAAATTTAAAAACCGTCTAAGGGGCCCAGGATTTAGCTCAGTGGCACTGCACCTGCATCACAAGAGGAAGGTCCTGAGTTCGAGCCATAGTACCCCCAATAAAGGACGTGTTTAGTTGTAGAAAATTTGAAGTACACGTATGAGATAAGTCGCTTGGAGTTTTCCCATTGTCAGCATTTTGACTTATGTGACATTTTATTGCATATACAGTATTTTACTAAAATAAATTCAAATCTGCGTTGTATAGTTGTATTTTGAGTAGCTTGACCATACTTAATTCCTTGTCATGTTTATATTGTATGACTTAGCGAGATCAGTTTTTGTTTTGTTTTGCCTTAGGTCACAATTTTTTTATGAAAAAAATTTGTAAGATTTGCTGTCTGCTTCTAGAGTGAACCTCAGTAATTCACTTTTCTTAAACATTTTACAATTAAACTTTGCCAAGATTATTGCTCCTGAAGGGATTATGCTTCTGCAGAATGCTTCTTCCTTTCGGCAGAGGGCCTATCCAGGCACCCACAGCTTGCCCCACAGTGACTTGCACTTTTGAAAATTGACTGAGGTGTGAGACTATCTAAAATTGAAATCCTGCCTCATTTTTGTATTTATAGCCATCCTTGACATATTTCTAACCATCCAACCGAGCTGTAATTTATTTTTCACTTAGAATAATCCAAGGAAAGATTTAAAAGCTCACATAAATTTATGCACCGTGTTTTCCTTGGTCTTCTCAGCATCCTAGCTTCACGTGGTCAGTTATTTTTTTGGTCCAGGGTCCTAGCTCACACCCTCAGTGCTCATCCTGCCCTGAGGACAGCTTAGAGGAGGAGAAGAAGGAGGAGGAAGAAGAGGAGGGCTTTCATGTAAGTTAGCAGTGGCATTTGTATGTTCAGTTCTGCCCACCCAGTGGTTGACTACAGTGAAGAGAGAAAATAAATCTGATTTAAACAAAATAGACCAGCAGCCACAGTGAAGCACGGTAGCATAATTTGCTTAATGAACAGGGGAAATCATTTTTTATTTTAGTCCTTTTTTACGGAAAGACATTTTCAAGCACGTACAGTGACTGTGGAGGCATTTTTTTTTCTTTGAAATGGGGTCTCCCTTTGTAGTTCAGACTGGCCCTGAACTCACTGTGTAGCCCAGGCAGGCCTCGAACTCCCAGCAATCCTCCTGCCTCTTGCCTCTGCCTCCCAAGTGCTGGGACTATAGGTGTGCACACCACGCCCAGCCCATGGAAGCATTTTTTTTTTTTTTTTTTTTTTTTTTT